TTTTCTCCGTTCTTTTTTCTGAAGACATAACGAATTGATTCCTCTGACAACAGAGGGACCATTTCACCCAGTATAACAAAACGTGCTTCTGAACAGGATTGCCTACCCTACCTTTAAATCAGGCTTTGCAGTCTTGTTCTGGTTCAATGTTCCTGCATTGTAGTCACGTAGATTAAAGCATACATTAAAGCTTCTTTCAGACAGCCACGCCTAAAGTAAATGGGGAAATTTAATATGTCGACCAAGGTCAAATAATTACAGAGATTACTGTAATAAATGTGTAACTGAATTATCATCTTTGCTCAAAAACAAAAAAATTAAATTTTCCCCTCATATAAAAGAGGTTAAGAAAAACAACCACAGTAATAATCAGACTAGCACTCCCCTCCAGATTTATCTATGCCAATTGCAAAACATAGCTTCACATACAGCACGTGAGTCTTAGCTTAACGTCTTATCATCTTATGCTTGTGCCTTGTCGGACTTTATAAAGTGGGCAGCAGAGTTCTCTAATAAATGATGAAAGTGATGAAAATGTATGAGGAGATTCACTAGAGAGAGCGAGAATGTCCCCACCAATGGTCAATAATTAAGGCTTTCACGGCAAAATAAGTTTTAAAATCCATCAGTGATGCAGTGATGGAACAGAAAACACTCTGCTTCCCTCATGTCATTAAACTTTTCAACTCATCGCTGTTTTTTAGCAGTTAGGCGACTCCTCTCTCACACAGCGGGAGCCAAATATTACGCAAGCACACAGCCTTCTCCTGAAGGTCTGTGTTATTAACTTTGAAGTAAATCAACTTTATAATGGAAAGTGTGCCACTCATTTTGGACCACAGATCTCTAGAAATGTCAGTTGGTAGGCATACGTCGCCACAAAGCAATGACATTTTCCCAGCTGATGCTTGAAAGCTTGAAAGGAGGCAGCACACTTGTCCATTCTGCTTCCCCATAAAGTGCCCCACAGCTACCAAAGTTTGAAGTTAAGTCGGGTTTATGATGTACATTCACAATGCATCATATTGCATCAATGTCTGCTTCAATGCACTGTTTTTGAAGGGGACAGATTTGACAGGGATGAACCCAGCTCTCATGCATACAGTGTGTGCAATATAACTGGGCAAAGGCGAATCTTTTCTCTTTTCACTGGTATTGCCATTCCATGCCGACCAAAATATTATTAAATTACTACGATAAGATACAAATAGTGTTCTTTATAGTGTATATGGAGTGTCTACTCTTAAAAAAAATGTAAAATAAGGACATGAAGGTAAAAAAATAACAGTGATATTTTCATTTTGCGTAGTTGATACATTAAAATTAATTTTAAATAACACCCTTAAAGGAAATACAAAATGTACTTGCCACTGGATTTCGCTCTAGAGCAACAGCATCTCAGACCATGTGAAAATATTTGTAAAAAGTGCTGCAATGTAAGTTAAAGTTAATCGTCGGGGACAAATGCGCCCATCAGTCTGTCCACTAAAAGTTAACTAACCACTGACAGGCTCAGATTGTTATTCTAAGTGTCTGACAACATTATGGAAAGGATCCGTATGAAGATAAACCTTTTGTTTAACCAGAAACAGCCTTAATATCACTATCACTCTCCACCAGAATCCAGAGACAAAAACGCAAATTTTACCTCACATATCAATGTAACATTGTAACTTCATTTAAAGTGGACAGAAACAAAATAAAACTCACTAAACACAATCTTTATTAGTCTTTAAAATGTTTCATTAATCACCAATTCTGCTTTGGTTGAAATAAATCCTTAATTCACCGACATAGATGATTAAAACAGCAGTTTCAGTCACTCTACTCAGCTGCACAAGGAGCAGACCGGCTATGGTAACAAACCAAAGAGAGGCTGTGATAGCAACACAGGGAGAGGGAGTGTGACACCATGACTCAACTGTATCTTTACATAATCATTGCTTGCTGCCTTATTAATGTTTTAAATATCATATATATAAGGTTTAGCATGAAAAATCTTGCCCTTAAGTGATGAACTTCTTTTCTCAACAAGGGACAGGCAGGGTTACAGACTTCTGTGCTGTTGCTGCTAACAAAAGCCTGGAAAGCTGGAATGAAACTCCTGCTTTGGCTCTACATCCTCTTCATCTGGAGGCTGCTTCTCTCAGGCCTGCAGTGTCATCAGGACAAGGATGGGGTTCGATAACATTAAATCAAGTCCATTTCCGAATCCTCTTATCGATCCGAATCCTTTTAAATCCCTTATCAAATCCTTCTTAGGTTGTTTGTTTGGTGGCAAATGAAGACATCTCTTAGTTAAAAAAGAGAGATCCTGCTGTGTTCAAAGGGTGTAGGGCTTTCAGCACATATTTAGTTACTGCTCTGTGACATTCATTAACCCTGTCCTGGATTATTTGTCCTTTTTGCTGTGAGTGTGCTCCTGACTCAGTTGTTCTGCAGCTTCAGAAGTAAAAACAACACAGTGGAATTAATATTTAATGTATTTATTCATTTAGCAAATATCAACTGAATAAATACCCTGTGCCCCCTGTCATGTAACACTGTAGTGTCCAAACTTGGTATTTTGCCATTGTGTAAGGGGTCTGGGTTAGTCTTTTGAAGTTGTGATAATGATGTATGGTATAGAGATGTCCTGTGAATGAAAATCTCTGCATATGCTTCTGATCAATGCATCACATGTGCAATATTTCCGTGTATTATGCTATGACATTAGCCAATCATAGTTAGCAAGCCAGCTGGTTAACATATAGGCAGCGAGGCATCTAAGATAGATGGATAGGGGCGCCATGATGGCTCACCTGGTAGAGCTGGCACTGCATGTACCAAGCCTGAGTCCTTGCTGCAGCCGCCATGGGTTCGAATCGACCTGTGGCCCTCTACTGAGTGTAATGCTCTCTCTCTCTTCCTCCATTTCCATGTTCACTCTATCTAATCAACAGCTGTGTCGCTGAGTTAGCAAAAAAGGCCTGCACAATAAATCGCAATATTATAGAAATCGTAATATGGCTAAGTGCATTATACAGCAAGAAGCCGCAATTTGTTTGTTAAAGGTAAAATGTGTGACAAACAGCATTATAATTAAGTACTGCAGTGCTGCAGTTTTTTTTTTGGGAGAAACATAAAATTGTGGTGCAAAAATGATCATTCGCACTACTTGTGAATCATGTCGTAATCGCAATTCGATTTTGCAGCTCCAGTTAGTTGTTTGTGTTTCTTTGCAGATGCTTGTCGTATCAGAACGAGGCTAAAGAGACTATCTAGACTATCTAGACTATAATCTAAGAGGAATCCTGAATTGAACATTCAGTATGGGATTCACTGGCTGCAGAGCTAAACATCGACATCACTTTTTATGATAATTTACACAATGACTGAAATTAAGTGCTCAGTGATTAGAGCAGGCTGTAAATAAAGGTTGGCAAGGGTATAAAAACATGTAAATATTAACCACAGGAACACGATAACATGTAGGAGCAAAACAGCCAAAAAGCCATGGAAAAATAACCCTAACCCTAATAAATCAATAAGGAAAAGATCAGTAGAAAGTGTCTCCAAGTAAAACTAAGGATGAAAATTAGATGTGTTTTTAAGTTTTTCTTTAAAGTTTCCCCCACAGCTCACAGTGTCGAGCTTAAAGACCCGGCAGATATGATCATATTCTTGGAGCCGAGTAATTTATTCTTAATACTTATCAGTCTCTGTTAGCGGAGGTGGTGAACATGAACAACTACGGTACTGTGCTGATGAATGAGCTCACTACAATGCATACTGTGAGGTAAATGACACAAGGCTTAAGCAGTCAGTAAGGCTTCAAATTGTATCGCAAATTGCTCGCAGAGACAAAAGTCCAGCCTAGCCATAAACGTGGCTTGGGCCAGTTTGACCCATGGCCACAGGCTGTGAGTTTTTAAATCACTTGTAGCCTGAACCACCACTTCATGAGCTTCTCTGGCCACAAAATGGCTTATACTACAACAGCTTTGATAAATTTTGACTGAAGACAGGTTTTTTTTTTAAGAATGAGGTATATCAATGAATAGAAAATACAGAAAAATAGTGTATTGCAATATTTGGTTTTGTGTTATTGTACCAGTTATCAAAAACACTGTCTAGATTTTTGTGTTCAAATCCAAATATATTGCCTTGCTTACAGTATCACCATATATCCTATCATAACCCCTGTATCGTAATACGTGTCATATCATCAAATTCTTTGCCATAGTAGGGGGGTAAGAAAATTGGTACACTTTAGTATCACAGTGTTTTATTTTGTGATTGTGTTGATTGAGTTTTTGTGTTTAAACCTCCAACTGCTAGATAGCAGTGTTATCAACAGAAACTGAGGACTATTATGTTGGATGTTACAGGGACTAATTACTCTTTCTACTCTGTTTATGACAGTTTTTCTAAACTTAGATTTTTTATATATTATATATAATATATCACCTCATTTACAGTATTGTGATATATTGCAGTATATTGAATCGTAACCCCTGTATCGTGATACGTATCACATTTCTGTATTTTTTTAACCCAGAATCTTTTTAAATCCAAAATTTTTTTTCTTTTGCTTTTAAGGCCCTCACATTCTATGTTCAGTCAGCAGAAATACTATGTTGCAAAAAAGTATGCTGTGAAAGTGACACAACAAAACTGATTACTAAATGTGTTGTCTCAGTCAGGGATGATATCACTTGTTTTCACTTGCCCATCTCCCAAGACTCACACTGCATAGCCCACCTGTGCTCGTTCCACTTTTACAGTCTGATTTGAAATGGGCAATGGAGGGAGCAAAGAGGAATGCAAAATATCTGTTGCCTTGACTACTGCAACTGGCTGGTCACTTGTGAGCAGACCCAAAACTCAGGACTTAAAACCAACCCCAGCTCCCTCTCTCCAAATAAAAACATATGTCCGAAGCAGAAAAAGGATAGATGCATTATTAGGCTTGGGTTGCAACGAATTACATGTAACTGAGTTATGTAACCAGGATACGAAAAAAAGGTAAATGTAATCCATTACAGTTACATAAAAAAGATGTAATCAGATTTAGTATGTATTAGTAAAATTAGGATTTTATAGCAGGATCAGAATTACATCAGTTTTTCTTTAAAAATGCAATGAGCAGAGGACATTTGTGATGCCTAAAAATTGTCCATTTTCCATTTTTTTCCATTTTCTTTCTTAAGGTCATACCGTTCTGTTGTCTTATAGATTACGCTTCCATCAGTACTTATTAAATTGTCTGTTCTCTTGTTTTTATTTGCATATTTGGTGTTGAGGTAATCCTAAAGTAACAGAAAGTAATCATGTTGTAAGAATTTTTAAGAGGTAATTAGTAATTGTATTGTATCAGATTACAGTTTTAAAGTAACCCTCCCAACCCTGTGCCCCATATCGGACTATTTGCAGAGCTAGGAGCAGTGAATAAACTACAGTCTGCCCTTTTGTGTAATACACTTTGTACACACATTGTACATTAAAGGGGCATTCTACCAATTTTGTATAAAGGGCAGTTTGCATGATGAGTACTACTCAGCATGTGACAGTATAGTGTTTACTGTGACTCTGGACGAGGCTTTTGAAAAAACAAACTTGATGATTTTATCAGGGTTAGAGTTTAAAAGAGAGGGACAGTCCCAAAAAATAATGCTGTTGATGGCATAATGGATAATCCTTTAGTATGCTTATTGGCACCATAAAGAGGCTCAGGGAATGTGATGAGGAGAGAGATTTACTTAAAATATATTGAGCTGCCCTATCAAAAGAAAGGCAAAAAGCCCCCCAAAATATATTTTGAAAAAAACAGCAGCAACCAGCAATGTTAGCAATGCATAGATGTGTGGCACGTGTGCTGTGGAGGTGTTAAAGCTGCAAAAGCAGAAAAAGACGATGCAGGGTGGATGTCAGCTGTAAGAAGGGGGTGGCAGAGTGAACACATGGGCCAGCGTTTATTGCTCAGGTGAAATAGATCAGCTGATGAACCTCACATGACCAGCCTCCGAGACAGTGTAAGGGATTTCATTTTTATAATTGTTTATGTAGATTTGTTTGGAGATGTCCATTTCAAATCTGTCATTGTGCTATGAATAAGAATCTTGATTTACTTTCTTTAAATTCCAGAGGAATGTTTCACTAATTCCTATACATTTTTAAATGCATTTATTTGAATTACTCAAGTTATTTCAAGCCGTTTTTACAGACACTTGTACATTAATGTATTTCTTAACCTAATCTGATTAGCTCTGCCTCTCTGTTTGCTCAGTCTCTGTGGGAGCAGGTAAAAAGCTTTTTGTTTACAGGGGGCACTCCACCGATTTTACACATTATGTTCAGGATACCTGTCATTAAGAGTTCTACACAGCCTGTGAAAGTAGTTGCATAATGTCTTTTGAGAAAATAACCCTGATGATGTAATAGCAATGTCACCAGGTTTCAATTTTAGTTTGGAACATGTGTGTGTTAAACGGGCACACACTTTTCTCTTATTTGAGATCAAATCAACCGTCAAGTTTTTGTTTTCTGTGTTTTGTTATATGTGTTTTTCTGTATGCACCACCCCATATCTGGTAAAATATAATCACATGACTCCTTCCTCACCGAGATTTTGCATCTCAAGAGGCTTATCCTGATAAACTTGTGTAGGATCTAGTATTTTTGGAGCTGGATCTTGAAAAGTTTAGTAATTAGTGGACAGAGCTTCTGCATTCTTTCCAATGGCCAGCAGGGGGCAGCTTAATTGGTTCATTGGTTTCGATAGCTACTTTCAAGTCTTCTTCCATACAGCATGATTTTATAAATTAAGGTCCCATTTAGAGTAAAATAGACAATAAGGCGGGGGATTGCTTCAGGGATCCACAATGTGGTAAAAACCCATCATACTGCAATTAGTTTGACAGATATTACAGTATGTTTCAGGATTTTTGCATGGGGATGAACATCTTTGCAAATGTAATTATTCACATATTGAGATAACGATAATATAATATTTTGATTAATTGTGCAGCCCTACTTTAGGGCATGGCTACCTTGTGACTGACAAGTCGCTACCATGGCGAGTCCTGGGGTTCTCAGTGAGTCCATCCAGTGCTATACGCCAGGCTCACAAAACTCAGCTCAAACTGTCAAACTTTGATGTTTTCAGAAACGTATTTTAATGTACTGTTTATCTGAAAAGTTTGTGACCAGGCCAGTGTTTCCTCCTTTTAAAATTAACGAGCAAAAACCAAGCTCCGGCCAAGTGGCAGTAACATAGATGCATGGCAATGCATATCCTCCCCAGCTTCACGCTCTCATCAAAATATTGTCACTTCTGGTTCTAAAAAAACCAAGATGGAGACAGCACATAATGCCAAAAGTCAAGACTTCAGAATGGTAGTCCACACACTAATGTGTGATGTCATGAAAGGTTCACGCTTGAGCTGAATGGGTAAAATACAAAATAAGGTACAATACAAAGCACAACACAAAACTGCTGGCGTACACCTTTAATGCTGCAATGCCAGTATGTTTTGATATTGTCCATTAGGTCATGCCAACCTGAATTCCATACTTGGTGTCATTAATCAAAATCATCTTTTGGATGAGAATATAATAGGATTTCTTGAGTATGAATGCGCTGCTGAAAAATCTGCAGGCACTGTGCATGACGCTAAGTCAAGCCTGAACCAAGATCTCTGTGATCCCCTTCCTCTGTTCCAACACAAAGCATACAAGCTGGATGGTTTATAGAGGTTTTAAAAGTCTGAAATCTCTGCATCTGGCAGAGTTATCATTAATATTTGTATCAATCTATCAGCCACACATAGTATATTCTAATGATTTTGTACCATAGGGCACTGACTAATAAGCAAGGGGAATACATTTCCCTGTGTTTTCCAGTTACCCTTTAAGCCTGTAAACTTACAGTTCCTCTGCAACCAACCATTTTGCAATGAATCATGAAACTAGCTGTGTGCAGAACATCATTTATATGAAAGTCAGAGCTACACATCCCCTGGGATGTGAGCAGAAAGGGCAAGAAAATGTGGCACTGGGCAAACATACTGTTGTCATCTTCACAGAAGTCATGCAATGTACATCAGTGACGATATACACGTTCATCTGTCTATAAATCTTCAAGTAAATGCCTTTGTAGCTTCAGTGTGGAAGATAGTCTTTCACACTGGGTATATGAATCTTATTTTGAAATACAACTTAGATTAGTTTGCTAAAGTTCAATCTCTTTTCTACACAATGAATTCCTCCAGATGACATGACGCCAGATAAGACACACTGACTGAGTTGTATCCCAACATTAATGTTTCTCTTCTCTTCATTTTCACAGTGACCTAAAGCGCAGAGTCAGTATTCTTATCGATGGTTCCCTCATCATTGCCCAAGTCAAGCCGGAGGATGCTGGGAAATACACCTGTGCGCCTAGCAACAGCCTGGGCCGACCACCGACTGCCTCTGCCTACCTAACAGTGCAATGTGAGTGGCTTTGACTTTTGAGTTGTTATATGTGCTCAACTTTACTGTGAACTGGTACATTGAGGGTTCCTCTTTCCCCCCAGCTGTTTGGGTAAAGCCATTGACGGTATAGAATAAATGGATAGAGCTTGTTGGTTTGAGGTGAAGCCAATGCTTAAGTGTCTTAAACCTGCTTTCTTTCTAATGGTCAGAAGGGGGCTCCATGGGCTGCTAGTATAAAGTCTTATGGGGAAATGACCTTACTCACTTTGTTTACTAATGTGTTTTTGTCTTTAGTCTCAATCTCTGGTTTCAGTTTTCTTCCATACAGCATGATGTT